GCCTACGTGTTCAACTGTTTGATCTACATTGGCTAACGTCGGGTAAGACTGTACTTCTGTAAATGGGCAAAACATTTGTAAACATGGAAAGCGGTCATAACATGTGCGAAAGATGTTATTCGTGCGTTGCCATTATTTATGTGTACGCATGCGAGTGTGTGTGTGTGTTGTGGGGAGAGGTAGTGTAGCGGTTAGTGTTATGCTGCGCTACGAAACCGGCGACCTGAGTCAATTCCCGCTCACGGCCAACACCAGTGGCGATTATCTGAACCGGTCATGGGCCTCCCGGAGGTCGACTCAGCCTCAAATGAGTACCTGATATGATGGGTAAACATCGCCAAGCTAGACGGTGGATATTTATCTTTGTGTGTATTGAAGCCGTGCATCTGTACACCCAGGCATCTTTGACATGTCAGAATATAAACTTGATATGTGTGTTGTGCCGTGGTGGCACTGGTTGCCACATATATCCCAGCACCACACACAATGTACACTTCTTGCCTACACTTCCGATGAAGCCTCCTCACTGTTGCATGGGCGGTGTGCCTCAGGGGCACAGCTACAATGTGGACTTTGTGGGGAGTGCTCCTACTCACGAATGGTTGCTGGTGGGTATTGGTCAGATTACAGATAGGATCCTTGACGTTCACCCATCACACACTCACTTTGTGAATATACCGGCCCTATATTTATATTAAATCTACATAACTGCCTGGCTATTGACAAAGCACAAAGCCCACTGTTTGTGCAGGCTACTGTGTTGCTCAAAGGGAGGGAGGGGGGTAACACAGACTCAGATGTCATGATTTTGTCTAAGATGTTGTGGGGAGGGGGGGGTATCTTAAACCACATCTAAAAAATGCTGGTGGATGGGTGTCCTGACACCCATGAGACCCACATCGTGGACTTTGTGGCTTTAGGTCACCGACAAATTCGTGCGGTGTTTTGGTTTTGTCACAACAACGCCTTATGTTTGGTAAACTGTTTCGGCGGACCTGACAAACGGTTGTGAAAAGGAGCAATTCATGGCTGTTTGCATTGAATTAAAGGAGCGATACATCATACGCAGAGATCTCAAATGTCACACACTATTATTGCCGAACATTTATCACGGCGATTTACCGACTCCTGTTTATAAGCCCCGCGGATTAATGTGGCTGGATAATGCTACGTGCCGAAAGCCTCGAGGTTATATTTTATCATGTTTGCAAACTTTGTGCACAGTTTATTAATCACTGTCAATTATGTAAATAGTGTGACGAAGGGCTGCTATTGCACACACACACACACACACGTGTTAAATTAGATTTTTTAAACATCAGTAGATAAGAAAACTCAGCATTGAAATCGGGGAGGGGAGGGGTGGTTGAACCGAATCGAAAACCGAAGTGAAGAACCGGTTTTGGCAGGTAATTTTTTTTTTCAGATCGAAAACCGAAAACTTAAATAAAGTTTTTTTTTGTGTTCCGGAAACCACTCCTACCCCTCCTAAAAATATATAAGGATGCGGTTACCGGTTTGAAACTGCTTCAAATAAATATATATTTTGGTACTTTTCAGCTAGGATGGCCAAAAGTTGAAAAGGCTGTAATCCCCTCGTCCAGTAGTTCGTATCCTTTACTACAGTCTGGCACCCCTTTAGTTCTCAACCGTTAAATGTTTTTTTAAATGTTAATAAATACATAGGCTTGATGAAACAATGTAGTTGCACTCACGTGCTTCGATGATTTAGCTCCTAAAAAGAATCCGGCATATCTCGCACCCTCAGAAAGGGCATCTCGCCACTCGAGGTTAAGAACCACTTGCCTTCGTCAATGACGCTTCAAGACACATTGACCGTGGTCCCTCGATCGCTCGCGAAACGTCTAACACCATGGGTTGGCGCATTGCTCTCGTAGTGCAGCCACTTGAGTTGTGTTTCCCAGTCAACGGGTGACATCGGTGTAAAGAGCGATGAGAATCCATCGCGAGACTCCCCCCCCCCCACAACCCTCTTCACCAATCCGCACTGAGCTGCGTGTGGTGAAGTATGGTCAAGTAACCCCTACGCCAAGGGGGATGCCTTAGTCCAGCAGAGGTTTAACAAAGGGCTGTAAACATACTCTCTGGTTATTTCGGTAAAGTCACTAAGATAGAAAAAATAATAATAAAAGAAAACACGACGTTTCGGTCGCAGCACAAGCGTCCGTCTTCAGGTGAGAAAAAATGAACTCCCCTCCCGTGCCTAACTCCTACAGCCAAACTCCTCCCCCCTTCCCTCCCCCCTCCCGTGCCTATATAAAGCCACAACAGCAGGTCATTTTTTCTCGCCTGAAGACGGACACTTGTACTGCGACTGAAACGTCGTGTTTTATTTTATTATTATTATTATTCTATCTACGTGACTTTACCGAAATAACCAGAGAGTATGGATTCCTGCAGTCACGAAAGCTTCAAATCAAGGCTGTAAGCATATTTAAAATAATAATATGTTTTAAAAACACACACACACATTTGTCAACTGCTCATTATAAAGGACCGTTGTCAGTCCACGAGGAATTGTCAGTCCATACTTCACCGTGCTGGGTTAGTGCAATTTGGTGAAGGGGGGACGCCCGGTACAAATATCACTCACCGCTAATGTCATCCACAGCTGGGAATCTAACTCGGGTGGCCAGCTTCATAAGCACAGTGCGTTAACCATTATGCCACTGCTCACACCACACTGCACACATACCATGGACATCACGACGGAGCTGTGCCTCCAGATGCATTTCAGTTTCCACGTGACATCACTGCCACGAGCAAATACATTCCAACCATGTGCAAGGGCTTCTGAGTTGAGACTCCAGAATATACGAGGTGTGGGTTTATATTTGTGGAATTTGAAATAAAGCTGGGGCTCTCATAACCATTAACATTGTCATGTTATAGGTGGAATGGCTTCCACATTTTGCATGTAAAGAGACACGTTTTATTGGGCCAAAAGTATTTCACTAAATTTATACCGTAAGGTGTTTGAACCAGAAAACATGTCACAGACATGGCAGTGGTTGCATCTGGGGTTATTTGTTTAACTTTTAATAGATTTTAAATTGGTAAATTGTAATTGGGTATGTAAAATAACAGTGGGAGCAGAAATAGCTCAAGGGAACAGTGTCATATTTCTGCTCTCAGGAATTCAGCTAAAGTACCAACATAGTTGAACCAAGACACCCTGCCAGAACATCGGGGCTAAATCAATGTAGGAAACAATGTTATTGTTCGTAAAAAAAAAAATCTGCTGTGGCTTGGTTATTTTTAGCAATATACGACCCTATTTTTGTAAAAAAAAAAAACAATAGCTGAATGAACTATTCAAGCACAAAGATATCCGCAAAACATGTTTTCATTGGCACGTTAAAGACATGCTGCACGAGACATTGTTCTTGTTGTTGTTGAGAATCATAAAAACAAAACACCCAAAATCTGAATTTAGTTTTTGTAAAGTGTCTGATGAGGGATCCGAGTCCAGAGTTTATTTCCAGTCTTAGGTGTTAATGTGTTGCTGGTGCACTACTAATTGATCATTATTGGAACGCACAGAGAGCGGTGTGGCGATAAAGATAATGACACTGCTGCTGCTGCTTGCTTGTGCTGGGCTCCACCAGGCCGGTTCTCATGGGAAGCCGCGCGGTGGAGAAGGCGTTGATGATACAACTGTCGCAAGCCAGTGTCCCACTGGTTCTCTGTGTGAGAGTCAATGAGGATCCACGCAAATCTACGGACCTCTGCGTGAGTGTCTATGGGCTTCTCAACGAGTCTGTGCATACATATGTCATTACGTGGGCCTCTTTGTGAGTTCATTGATCTCTGGAAAAAGTGCTGACGACGAAGCCAGAGTATTCCAGTTTGGCAATTAATCCACGTGGGACTCGTCACCCGAGACTGGAAAAGACGAGATGGACTTTAATTAACGGTAAATAACAAGACTCTTAAGCTACGTGAAGTATTTGATATTTTGAAGGCTATGGATAATGCATTTGCCCGAACAGCAGGCATTTTCCCTGAAGAAGAAAACATGTCTTCCAATAGATTGGGTTAAGTTTAGCTTTTTTTATTTTTATGAAAAAAATTGCACTTTTGTTTTATTAATAAGGAATTTTAGTGAAATAACGTGTACGGTTAACTATTTAGTTTTATTGCAATGGGTCAGCAAATTAGTTTAGATTACCTCTGCGAATGGTTGATCCATCCCGCGCACACCGTGCTGGCGACCCGTGGCGTGATGCTGAATGATTTGGCCCGTCTCACCTGCTGATGGAATGATCCTATGCTTTAAATGTGGGATTGCGCCATTTGGCTGTGTGGGCATTCCCTGCAGAAGGTAGTTGAGAAAACTGGGTGGCGTTTGGTGTGTAAATGTTTGAGCTGCCGCTTCACTTGCAGTCTGTGCCCTGCAGTTTTTTAAACATAGAGACGCAGGTAAGGCTGGTTATCCTTACGACAGAGCTGTTTGGCTCGGTGATCCTCTACAGCTGAAATAAGGTCGAAGTCTGAACCTGGAGCCATGACTTACTTTATTGTCAAGCATGGTGCGCGCCTCCTGGAACAAACGCTAAAATCCAGTGCCACTGTGGGTGGCACCATCGTTTTTGACAATTTTGGGGGCAAATTGTCACGAGAGGGGAAAGAGGCGCGAGGGTTGTGGCAGGGCAATTCGGGGGGTCAGAGCTGAAGCAACGCTGCAAGATGTTGGGCAGGTGAAACAAATCGGTGTGTTGTATGTGGGGGGTGGTGGGGGGGGGGAAGTGGCTCATGTGATAGAGCACGAGGCGGCTTCATTGAATGAGCAATGCACACAGATCATCAGCTCTGCTTCGTGCTCTTCGTGACGTTAATCACCTACAATGCTGAAACCCAACATCCATTGCCTTTCACATCCCAGTCTACAAGGATTGTTTTCGTCGGGGGTGAGTGAGACTGAAATAGAATGGTAGCCTCCCAATGAGCACCGCTCATTATCAAAGTTAAAATCAAACCTTGAAACGCAGAACCGGCGGAGGAGGCGTCGATGTAGGGGACGGACTCTTCGGAAAGACGGGGTGATCCGATGGGACCTGGGGGCCCGGGCGGCCCAGGGAGACCCGTTACCCCCCTCTCCCCTGGCAAGCCCACTGCCCCAATGCCCCCCGTTGCACCAGGCTGCCCAGGGGGGCCAGGAGGACCTGAAAATAAGAGGGGCATCAGTTTATATTTGGGGCAGTACTTTGTGTTGCAAGTGGAGTTTGAGAACTCTGTAAATGGGCGAATCAATGTTACAAAAAAAATAACAGGTAAAAACATATTCGGCAGTGAAGCCTCCTCGTCAGGGAAGACGTAGGTGAAACTTAATGAGGTGTGCCGAATCCAGTGCTTAAGCAAAATAACGTGAATACAAACAACTTTGGCAACTGGGCACATTAGAGCCCCACACCACACAAACATACGTACAACTTGCATGTAATGACCATTTGCAGTGTCCATATAGTGATCTTTAAACATGGATAGGTTATAAATACAGGACATTTGCAAGAACTTTAATGACTTTTTTTAAATGTCAACATTATTGATTATTGTCGTTTTGCATGAGGAATTGTTGGCTTTATTGATAGCCCGTTCACTGCGTTAAGATCAAGCCGAGGGAAGGAGAATACAGTTACTGGTAAGGTGTGGACATTGTATAGGGCATGCAACAAAGATACCATTACACATTTGCATAACAACATCAATTGTCAGATTTCATTATGCCCCATGTGTCAGAGAATGGCCAGTGGAAGACATTTCACACCCCCCCCCACCTCCTTAAAAAAAAACCCTTTAAGTGGCCTTTGTACACTTAACAATGCACTCTGTAATTAAATTGTCAAATGACAAGTCAAGCCGATACTTTCAAAGTCTCAGAAGTGGAATTCAGCCAACTCAAAGTGAAAAACCAAATTTAATATTGAATTATTTTTTTTTAAATTTTACATGCAGGCATTGTGACAGGGTCTGAGCCTCTTGAGACACACGGCTTGATCACAGGCGGCCGAAGCCAAGATTCGAACCAAGAGAGACCTTCGGCAGCGCCGACTCTCAGTACCTCGACCTCTCAGACACACGACCACCGTGAAAATAAATAAGCAAATAAGTAATATTTTTTTAAAACTTTTTTTAAAACACGCTTCAATGAAATGCACCGTACTGGCAATGGAAGTGGCCCCGAAGCTTGCCATAATGTAAGGGGACCGTGGCCAATTACAGCCAACGTCAAGTTGACTGTGGACATTTAGACCCAAGCCGAAACATAACATAAAAAATAATGTTTTTAAATATATGTTTTTTTATTTTTTATTATAGAATATGGTATTGTCATCAGTATCACATAAGTATACCAAGTTTGCTGTCGATACCACATTGGGAAGTTGAGGATACAACAACAACAGACAGAGTGAGTTAATAAAAAGCGTGTAAAATAATAAAAAAATAAAAGCTCTTTGCAAACACCCAAATATATATTTATGCTCCTTATATAGGGGGGGAGGGGGGGGTGCGTGAAGTGAAATCTGAGATACAATAACATAAACATTGTATGTCTGCTGTTTGATCGTGTCTGCTCGGAATTAATTTCGGATTTGGAAATATTCACGAACCACGGGACGAGTCCCTCTGAGAAGCCTCCCTTGTGCTGCCTCAGCAACACAAAAGGGCCAAAAAAATAATAATAATCTCCACACGCCAGTCTTGTCAGCGAGCTTTGATGTGTATGGTTAAGTGTCGTTTGAAAGTAAGACACAGACACACTGCATGTCAGTACTTCTGAACTACAGTATGAATGTGGAATGTTTACATTTCTGAGATTACACTTTATTCGGGCATTGTTTTATGCTGACCAAAGTACACGCGCTTTCATTCACTATCAAATTTCTTGAGTGCTGCTGAATTAAAATATGTCACTTTTGCATAAGGTGGATGGTACGTTTGAACTTTTTCTCATTTTTTTTAGATAAAACATGAGGCAAACACGAAAGTCATCAATCAAGCTGGCCCGTGTGTATTTACTGTCGTGCCAAGTTTTTTTGTTATAAAGGCTTGAATTGTTTGGCCGATTTTTTGTTGTTACTAACAGCCTCCAGTTGACAAAACGCACAGGGGGAAGAGCTTTCAGATTATATAATTGGGTTCATGTGGAGACACATCTTATATAAATATATAACGCGTGCGACGTTACCTACTGTTAAAGGTTTAAGCTCTGCGGAAAGAGTGGATGTACTTTCAGAATGCCTTTTCAACAAGCCAGTGTGTGTGGTGTGTGTGGGGAGCGGTAGTGTAGCGGTTAGCGGGCTGCGTTACAAACCCCCCGACTCACGGCCAACACCAGTGACGATTATCTGGGCCTCCCCTAGGTTGACTCAGCCTCTAATGAGTACCTAGTGTGGTGTGTAAACATCGCTACTAAGGAGGCAAAGGCGCCCGGGCGTGGTGTTGGCCACCCACCCCCTCGTGTGCCGTGCTGACCTCTTACCTGCTCGCTAACAGCACTTGCTCCAACAATCTTTTAAGGCTATATGGGGATTTTAATCTTTTTTTTGTGGCTTTGTGGATGTGTCACAATTTTTGTTGTCGTGAACATTCCACATGCTACAGTGTCGCTGACCTTTTTGTTAAACAATACAAAATTTGAGATAATGCTATGGTGCGTATCTTACATCATTTTACAAAAATATATAATATTGATGTAATTTTCTCCAAAGTATTCGCATGCAGTTTCAATTGCATTTTCTACGAATAATTCTGAAATCTGGAGGTCAAATACCACGGATTGTGTTATAAAAACATTTCAAACATCTTCTCAGCTTGCACCACGTTTGAAACTCTTGAGAGTTCATGATAATTCTGCTCTTTAAACCTTAGCATTAAATAAACATCGTGCTGCTCTTTGCACAAATCTAAGCTGCATTTTTTGTATCTTAGTTTAAAGTATGAGACCAAAATGTAACAAATGTACTACCGTCTGTGTCCAGGGAGGGCTAGTGTTTCACCATAGACTTTTCCCAACATCTGTCTCTCAGCATTTAAAATCTAAACCATATGGCGCACCAGTGACCTACAGCACAAATGCGATTTTGTATTCTATTTGATGGCCCAGCCTGATTTTGTGCAACTATACTTTGAAGCACAGTCTGCTGAAGCTTAATTGTTTTAGGGTAAACGTTGTCTTCATTTTAATAACAAGCTTTCCTCAACTTCAATTATAGGAGAAAAAAAATGACTTTAATTCAATGGCAACTTACATGAAACCCGTATGTTTTGGCTTAAATGGGTTGGCTGCTCATCGATTCCAGTGCCATGTGGGTATTACAATATGGAAGGTTTCTATGACAACACGAGGTCAATTCTAGGCCCAGGCCTGAGCCTTTAGCAGGACCAAAAACAAACAGAACCGCCGAAAACAAAATGTCTATCTTTGGTTATTCCACAACTTGGAATAGGGTTTGTGAATTATATTATACTTGGCTTTATATGTGGGTGGTCCCACGGCCTAGCACAGGGGTGCCTTCTGCCTCCGCGGGGTAATTATTGTTACCACGTTGTTCGCGCGCTCACAGTGCCAATGTGGGGACTTAGAAAATATTGCATTGAAGCACACTGTACTCTTTTCATACGGCCATTTGTCATACTGTGCCAGTCATGGGGGTTATTATGGCCACACTTTACCACGCTGGTCAGTGTAGGTTATTGAAGGAGGGGAAAGTGAATGTGGGAGAACCGAAAGTAAGACGATGGTACCTTCTGTGCCACACTCTGTTGGCTCTGACATCTTGCTTTCTATGTGCACCAGGCCACATCTCTCCCCCAGCCCTACACTGTGCCCCTCCATCGTCTCAACTGTCCGGCCACCAGACCTCTACCCATACCACCCTCCACCTATTCTCATCCATGCCAATTTCACAACTTCATGCATGTCCCCCATGCCCCGCTGCCTCTCATTCACATTGCACCCATCAGACACCCTCACTCACCATCACCTTCCACCTTATTCTGCATTACCTACCCCAGCAACATCAGCTCCATTCCGAGCCACTGTCCCTCCATCCATTCCATAGCCTTCCGCACTGAACGCCGTCGGATTGCATTTCAAAGCACCCTGGAACGGACGCTATATAAATGCGAAATAGAATAGAATGCTCCCCAACTCGTCCAAATAGCAGGGCCTTAGCTGAACATAGTGCTCAAATGTGTCATGTCCCCCAATGGAGATTGACGCGAAACTCTCGACCAATGCCCACGCGTGAATTTCTCGTGATGCTCTACACTGCTTTCTATAGCTTTGAAGAAAATGGCCATCACACTCATACGTATATTGGAAATGAGGTTACATATTTAATTGTGAAAGCAAGTAGGCACTGGTCGCTGCTGCACCACTCATCAGCTGTGAAACCAACGGCAAGAAACATTTGAAAGAAGTGGCAGTTTGTATTTCTTTATAAACGTTAGCACCACGGATAGCGATTTGACAAACCGCCATTTCTTGCCGTTGGTTTTCACACCTGATGATGACTGTTTGTGTTACACTCATCAGCTGTTTGATCCCTCAGGAGGGATTGAGCAGAACCTCTCTAATCTCTTAAAATCCAAAGATATTTCATAACTCTACCAGCCTTCTCCTTCATACCATTCGTTCCTTACTCCTAAAATTCGAATGCGTTCTTCCGTCAGCAGGCAGACGATGGAATGTAGTACAGCATTACGTTTTCCGCGTAATTTGAAAATACTTAAATCAGTTTGATTTACTTTTCCTATGGTGGCTGTAAAGGTCGATCCTGGAAAGACAGAGTCTGCCACAATTGCCCTGAAAATGCGTGTGCAATAATACTTACAGTGAGGGAAAAAAAGTATTTGATCCCCTGCTGATTTTGTACGTTTGCCTACTGACGAAAAAATGATCAGTCTATAATTTTAACGGTAGGTTTATTTGAACAGTGAGAGACAGAATAACAACAACAAAAATCCAGAAAAACGCATGTCAAAAATGTTATCAATTGATTTGCATTTTAATGAGGGAAATAAGTATTTGACCCCCTCGCAATCAGAAAGATTTCTGGCTCCCAGGTGTCTTTTATACAGGTAATGAGCTGAGATTAGGAGCACACTTTTAAAGGGAGTGCTCCTAATCTCAGGTTGTTACCTGGATAAAAGACACCTGTCCACAGAAGCAATCAATCAGATTCCAAACTCTCCACCATGGCCAAGACCAAACAGCTCTCCAAGGATGTCAGGGACAAGATTGTAGACCTACACAAGGCTGGAATGGGCTACAAGACCATTGCCAAGCAGCTTGGTGAGAAGGTGACAACAGTTGGTGCGATTATTCGCAAATGGAAGAAACACAAAAGAACTGTCAATCTCCCTCGGCCTGGGGCTCCATGCAAGATCTCACCTCATGGAGTTGCAATGATCATGAGAACGGTGAGGAATCAGCCTGGAACTACACGGGAGGATCTTGTCAATGATCTCACGCAGCTGGGACCATGGTCACCAAGAAACAATTGGTAACACACTACGCCATGAAGGAATGAAATCCTGCAGCGCCCGCAAGGTCCCCCTGCTCAAGAAAGTACATATACATGCCCGTCTGAAGATTGCCAATGAACATCTGAATGATTCAGAGGACAACTGGGTGAAAGTGTTGTGGTCAGATGAGACCAAAATGGAGCTCTTTGGCATCAACTCAACTCGCCGTGTTTGGAGGAGGAGGAATACTGCCTATGACCCCAAGAACACCATCCCCACCGTCACACATGGAGGTGGAAACATTATGCTTTGGGGTTGTTTTTCTGCTAAGGGGACAGGACAACTTCACCGCATCAAAGGGACGATGGACGGGGCCATGTACCGTCAAATCTTGGGTGAGAACCTTCTTCCCTCAGCCAAGGCATTGAAAATGGGTCGTGGATGTGTATTCCAGCATGACAATGACCCAAAACACACGGCCAAGGCAACAAAGGAGTGGCTCAAGAAAAAGCACATTAAGGTCCTGCAGTGGCCTAGCCAGTCTCCAGACTTTAATCCCATAGAAAATCTGTGGAGGGAGCTGAAGGTTCGAGTTGCCAAACGTCAGCCTCGAAACCTTAATGACTTGGAGAAGATCTGCAAAGAGGAGTGGGACAAAATCCCTCCTGAGATGTATGCAAACCTGGTGGCCAACTACAAGAAACGTCTGACCTCTCTGATTGCAAACAAGGGTTTTGCCACCAAGTACTAAGTCATTTTTTGCAGAGGGGTCAAATACTTATTTACCTCATAAAAATGCAAATCAATTTATAACATTTTTGACATGCGTTTTTCTGGACTTTGTTGTTGTTATTGTCTCTCACTGTTCAAATAAACCTATCATTAAAATTATAGACTGATCATTTCTTTGTCAGTGGGCAAACGTACAAAATCACCAGGGGATCAAATACTTTTTTTCCCCTCACTGTATTGCACTGACAATAATAATAATGCCCAGTAAAGCAGCACTGAGTTTGAGACTAATTGTTAATGAGCCTCATGCAATTGTGCTGATTGGCCAATTCCATTCGTGATTGTTGTGAATGTGTTATCCCTGTAACATATAATGGGAATATAACACTCAACACGGCCGTCTAATAGTCACCGCTTAATGCCTGCAAAATCAGGTAGATCCTGATGGTTGCCAATCTGTCACGGTTGCCCTGAGCTTACCGAGCTCAACCCTGTTTAGCCGTTTAGCTTCTGAGAACTAATGACATTCAGGGCACATTTAGGATGATTTGGTCATGCGTGTCAGTGGTGTGCTATTTTGTCAATCTCCGAAATCAGTACGACACGACTCATAGTGTTGTACTGATTCAGTAAGGTGTAAAGTACCCCTCAGTTTCAACGAAGAACCTTAAGGAATGTACAGATGCCCAAGGGTTCGAAGATAACTGGTTTAATGCAGAAGGAGCATGTATTATTTGTTAAACGAATGCACACTGTTTGCGTAATCGCAACGACAGTTATGGAAAGTATTTCGTAATTAAATAGCGTAAAAAATGTTTTGCCTAACCTGTTTGGTAATAATGAATTTTCTGTTCTGACATTAATCTTATCTCATCTCTGTAATGAGTGAATGAATGTACAGCACTGTAAATGTGTACTGTCGCCTGTATATGATACAGCAATTAATATAATCACACATTCTAAACGCACTTTCTGTGTAAACATCTCCTCTTGTTGATGCCACCATCTCCAGCACAGAAATCCCGTTTTACAAAATGCCGTATCTTTCGTAAGAACTCATTTATGACTAAGTTTCATACGTATTTACACATTTCAAATTCATATATTTTTTAGTTACCAGGTCAATTGTGCTTGAAACGTAATGGAAAAACATCCAAGAGACCTATCCTAGTGGCATAGGTGCACGAAATATAAGGTGCATAAACTTACAGCGCGGGGTGGTGGAGCGGCCCTGCACTGGCTAGCGCATTACGAATTTGGCGAGCCGACTTCGATTCACGGTCAAGGCTAACATCAGCGGCGACTGAAATCTGAACCACCGGTCCTGGGCCTCCACCGTCAGGCGACCCATACTGCCCACCATGGTGATGTACGGTCACACATCCTCCGTGCCTTTGGGAAGCCTATCCACACCAAGCAGTAGATTGACAAAGGGCTTCGATTATTCATTCTTACAGTGTGCGGGGTAACGGAATTATTCTTGTCGGTGCTCAACGACCACCTGTGAAAGCGTGTAAAACACAGCAAATGGCACATCCTTGAAATGCTGCTGGGAGCACCAACCTGGAAGCCCAACGGGACCCGGGGGGCCATCAATCCCTCCGATTCCTGGGAGGCCGGGGCGACCAGGTGGTCCAGGAAAGCCGGGTATGCCTGGGTTTCCTTCAGAAGCGCGCACGCGACAAAGCCACGGAGCGCACGCAGCCATCCGCAACCACAAAACGCACCGGCGTGAGACATCGAACCGCGCGCAAACACAAGGATTCACCGTTTGGCCTCATGCGTTCGTACGTTGAAGACGACATTATCCACTTCATCTTATAGTTCACCACACATGCCGGGATGCTGCTCTGAAGTAATGGTCGGCAGACTGGAATTGCAACGCAGAGGTCGCCGGTTCCATCTCATGGCACGGCAGTTGTATCAATGAGGGTATTTTAACCTTGGCTGCTCTTCTAGATAGACTGAGGAGACAGGCCATAGAGTTCAATAATAAAATGCATTCTCCTCACAGCTCCCTTTTGCAAACCGCTCAACAAGAATGAATGCCCAAATTTACATCCGACCACTCTTAATTATTGCCAAAGCGGTGCATGGCCACTTCCCAAGATGTAAATGGGGCATGGCGGTGGTGAGATGTTAACTATCTCGCCTGGTATACAGGAGGTCGTGGGTTCAAATCCGACCCTGACGCCTGCTGTATATTTGGAGTTTGAGGTGTCTCCCTCCCTGTGGTGGCGTGGATTCCCCCCCCCCCCCCCCCCCGGGGTCCTCCGGTTTCTCCGTCCATATTTAGAATCAACGTGCGTTTTGAAAGTATTTGGCTGCTATAAATTTCCACACGATAAGCCACTTCGTTGAGCTATCATTTGTGGCCAGATCGCTTCTGCAAAATAGCTAGAAAGCTCAGTGGGCCTTGCCTGGTAAAATAAAAATAAAAGTTTCGTTTTAGTAACGTCTGTTTGCATTTCATTTACTGACATGTGCGTCCACTAGGGGTGCAAGGTGCACACGGAATGCACAGCATGGCCCAGTGCTGCCAATGCCACCAGCCCAGCCAAGACAGTCAGGCCGCTAAGGCGTCGGCGATTCAGTGCTTGCGGTTCGATTCCGTGATTCATTTTACTTTTGTTTACATCGTGGTGAACGTAGTGCCGACAAACATGAATGGAAAATCATACACACCATCATCATCATCATCATCGTCAGTTCGTGCGTGTGATCGTGAGCCAGGGAATCAATTTCAATATGAATAAATGCGTCTTCACTTCCCCACAATGCAAACTAGACGACGCGAGCCCAGTTGTGAGCTGCGCTAAGACTGCTGTGTCTATCCATGACCTACCGTGGCCAGGTGGAGTTCATTCCTGTTTATCGTTAATTCAGGGCCAGCCGTCATCATCATGATGCCATCATCAGATAGTCTATCCACTTCCAGATGACGGCTCGCCCGCAACATGACAGTCACAGGGGTTGCTTTGACCATCATTGACCACCATGGCCACTGTGGTTTGATCAAGGAGGTGGACACAGGCTGTCTCGCCACTCGCGCTATCTGGCCGGAATTGGGTGCCCCGATCCAGCATAACGAGCTGCTCACTCGAAGCCCCTCTCAGGCTTCTCCTTCGCCACGTCAGGGCAGTGACACATTCAGCAAGTGTAATACTGTAAATAGAACCATGAAGTGGGCTGTGCTGTCTTCCTAATCTAGACACATACCGTATCTCTGCTTTCAGTTACACGTTAATAGTCCTGGCGTGTAACTGCGTGGTTAGAATTGCCCACACTTGCACTTTTCTTTCGAGAGCGCAAGCATCAAAATGTAAAGTAAAACATGATTCATACGGTGTTGTTCGTATCTGATCGTCAACATGCATCCGTTAATTTGCACAACGAAAGATGCTGAACCTAAGCTATGAAATAGAATCCTTTCTTTATGACAATGACTCTTTTTCTTACTTTGATGCTATTGCTGTTTTGTGTGAATGTCCATGCTGCCTACAATCGTGCGTGGCCATTTCCCAAAAATGTGATACCTGTGATATGCGCTGTTTTTTTTTCAGGTAAATAATAAATTGTGTTTATAACAATGATGTCTGGGGAAATAACTAATTTAAAGCGATAATGAAGCATATTCTTAGCTCTTTCGGTAAAGTCACGTTGAAGGGAAACAATAAAATAATCAAATATATATAAAACAATTAATTTTAAATGTTTAATTTTAATTGTTTTATATATTTATTATTTTATTGTTTCCCTTCAACGTGACTTTACCGAAAGAGATAAGAATATGAATTACTGCAGTCACGAAAGCTTCAAATCAAAAGATAATGAAGCAGTTCATGGAAATGTCACTAAACTAAATGAATCAAGAACGGGGGGGGGTATATTCATTACTTAAACGACCATGCAATGCAAGTGAATTGTAATTTCTACAGTGAATACAGCTCGTGTGTGTACGTTACATGAAATGCTTGCTTATTTCCTGAACCATCGTGCATTTTTTGTTATTTAAATGTTTTTATTTTTAATTCTATCAAAGATAAAGGTGCAGTCCTGCAATTCCCCCCCTCACACCGCTTCCAGAGAAAGAACTTCCTCCCAGAGGTGGAGGCTCTTACAGGGAGCTGCTTTCCAACAGAGAGGCGATTTTGGGCCTCCTCTTTCATGCTGTCCAGACGTCTCGGAGGAGCTGTGACTACTCCCATCTTAAAACAAATCGTCTCAAGTCCGTTTATTCTATTCAGCTTCTCCTCCCGTGGCCTTATTCTTACAAGGCGCCTTGAGACATTAGTAGAAGGCGCCTTACAAATAAATGTAAATTATTATTATTATAACCCGCACGTTACCCCACCTCGCACGCCTTGCCGATGAGAACAGTGGCATAAGAAACGTGGCCCATTGTTTCCGCTGGCGCGAGACGGGACAACGAACTGGCGGCCTTGTTTGCAAGCGCGGTGAGTTTGTGCTGGACTAATTTCCGGCTCATATCGAGCCAATCGCCTCCTCTCGAATGAATTCGAGAGGAGGCGATGGGTTACACGTCGATTAAGAATTGACCACCCAAGCGCTGGTAATTCTATTCAGTATGAACTCTTTGTTTTACTGGTTCACGTTACCCATCCAATTTGTAAACTGTTTTCGTTAAAATCTATTGTCCAGATAACAGTGAAGATTGATTTCTAAATCGAGTAAATATAAGAACGATTACGATGCCGCGAGAGAGATTGGCCGTGACATCGCAAGACTGCGAGGGGTGGCATTGCCACGGTGGAGGGGAGCGTCATCCAGCAGTAGATAGATTACGGATTTCGTCAGTTAAGAAAAATTAGATATTGAAAATACACTGCAATTAGCCAGGGAAAAAAAAAGTGTGCGTGGATTTTATACTACGGGACATGATGTCTATGATGTTAGCAGTCATTGCAAATTTGCATCTCATTGTATGAAATACACGGGCGCTTCTTCATATTGCGTAATCGCTGCCGCGTCCCTCCGTTGCCACGGGGAAAGCGATGCACTCGCGTTTGGACCGGATTCAGACAACTGCTTGCGGCTCCGTTCACGCCTCGAGGCGAACTGGACGATCAGGAATGACATGGGGAGGTGGCTAATATGAGCAGCTATTATGTACAGGGACAACACTCGCGATAATGATGCGCAGGGCTTTAAAATGAAACGATATTAGTTGGCGATGCTGCTGCTGCTGATGCATTTGCAGTGGTGCACAATTAACACCGTGGCTTTAAAAATAAAATTAAAATATAGGCAACAGGAAAATAAATATGCGACGTCTTGGGCAACGGCCCTTCGTGCTATTCTATGTTTTTGTTTTTAAGGCATTGATATCGACGAAGGTGTGATTGTTCGATACCGTACACTGCATTTAATGCCCAGGTTTTGACGGTCGGCAAAGTGTTATGATTTTAATGTTTCTCCCATGGGGCAACTGATCAACAAGCAGCAGGTTTTAAAGTTACCTTCCTATTAAAGTGGATCAGGGGAGACCTCTTAATGGTTGGTGTAAAAAAAAAATGTGCGGCCTGGAATATGAAAGTGCCAAGGTGTTCCAACACACACGGTGAGTGATTTGTAAAACATGTGTACATTTAATTTGTATTTTTAAAGTTGCGTTAAAAATTAGGAATGCGCACTGCGTAATGCACGTCCATGTGCAGCCATGAAAACTTAAATTATGCGTTGGTGATCATTAAACTTGTGGATATAAAACAATTCTACCATCTGCGTAGAAATATTCACCATGACAGTCGCATTTTAGTCCATATGCAGTCGAACGTAATAAAGCGGAACCGCGTTGAAATTCGAGGGCAACCTTAAATAAATAAATAACAATGACCTTTTTTTCCCACCTGTAAGAACTTTGTTAATGAGTAGCTCATACACACAGAAAATGGAATGTAAAAAATATTATATTTCGTAATGCTTGCAATGCAGTAACTGATGATGAATAAATTAAATTACATTTTCAACTACTCAATGATTTCTTGCTCAAATGAACATTGAGGCAGTACTCAATCGACTATTTACATCCCCTCATGCCTATGGCAGTGACGATTTTAGACATAGACCAACTACTGTTGACTTGCCTACAAAGTGGTACTCATTTTATGGACCCCTGGAGGAATAATTGGCTGAATCAACACCCAACCATGATTTCAACTCAAAACCTTAAGATAATGAGCCACTCTATCGCTGAGCCACCGTAACATGATATGTTCATAATATGTGCAACAGACATACGAGGGCGTTTCAATAAATGAATGTGCTCTTTAAAAAAAATAACTCGTCACTCCGTGACACAATTAGGACATAGCCAAGTTTTTGTGAAGACATCCAAAGTGCTAAGCCAAGCTGATGCTTCAACTCCAGCCAATGTGTCTCGTGTTGAGAGGCTGACTTTCGATGACAGGCGAGTGGGAATTAAGCACATATCAGTGGTCACAGGGATAAGTGTGGGAACGGCTCATTCAATAATCCACGTCAAGTTGAATTTTCCAAAAATATGTTGCCCGCCGCCTGCCAAATGTGTTAAGAGAAGACTGCGAAGCTCGACTCTCCCCTTCTGATGGGTATTTTGTTATGTTCTAGTAATCTCAGTGGAGCTGTTCCACTGGCTGTGAACGGTTCCCGTCGTTTATAAATATTTAGGCCTCAGTTTGCGAGAGTTCGGATGACTGCATCAAGCTCCACTTAGTCAAGTGCCTTTTCGTAGTATTTTTTTTAAATAATCTTAATGGTAGCATGCATGTGATCAGTGGTAGAGAAACCTTTCTTAAACCCAGCTTGCTCACGTGGTTGGTTGCAACCTAAATATTCCATTATTTTTCCAATGATCACCGTGAACAAATTATGTGAGTGCAATAAGAGGCCAAATGGGTCTGTCATTCTTCAAGCCTGTTTCGTCTGCCCTTTTCAACAGCAGAATGATTGAGTCAGCGTTCTATTGACGGGAGATGATTTGTTTCTGTGTATATGTTGAATAAATGGTTCCACTCATTATGATCCCACAATTGGTGCTCCTTCTTTGATGATGTGCACAGTTATGCCACAGGTCCAGAACGTTTTCCCCTTTTTATGTACTGTGAGATCAAAATGTTGACAATAGCTAAGCTAATAAGACGTGGATGAAAGCCTTGCGACTCATCTGTGAAAATGTTGCGGTTAGTGGGAAGCCGTTGCGCAGACGATAGAAGTTTTCTGCAAACCCTACAGCTTGGGCAGATACGAATTATAGGTGTCACGGGGGAATAGGGCCATGGATAGGAAGAGTTATCCCATACTATTTAGGACTACAGACCTTTCAGAGCATTACCACACCCCTGCCTTGAGTCATTCTTGTCAATAATTGTAAATGCCAAAAAATTGCAATCTTACCCTGATTCCCAGGTGTTCCATCTTTGCCTCTGTCTCCTGGTGGGCCTGTCAAAAGAGAACGGCGAGACGCATTACTTTGGAATCCCTACCACGTGCACAATGGTGCAGAAGGCGCGCAACTGAACACGTCGTCCATCGCATGGTCGCTGAGCGTCACAGATGCATGGGTAGGAAGCATGCCAATACTTTAGTTTTAAGCAGAACATGACATCAAATACGGGTGGCGATTGAAACCACGCATTTAGCTTCGAGACACTTGAACGTTCTCAAGGCAAATACGCGGCACGTGAACGGCGTGAATGAAACTGTCAAGCGAGCAGAATGTAAAAGTGGGCACGCCACGGAAGAAAGCCTTCCCCGTTTGCCAAGAAACAAGCTTAAAGCGCCCCCCCCCCCCAACCATTCTCGACGACGCTTTCGTTCCTTTGATGTGGCCGCTCGTCGGTTTTTGGTTGCCCTAACCGGCGAGGGACATCCCTCTCCCCAAGTCTACCCTGTCCTTTAGTCAGCGTTGCTCTGTTGGCGACGGTCACTCAGCCACGAAACACCTCCACCCCCACCCCCTCCTCGACCTAAATTGTCCTTTGGCAGCCCCAACAATCTCGCGGGAACCCTCGACAGACCCAAAGGGCTGCAGCTGAGAAACCAGCTGTTGCACAGCGCTGCACATATATTTAAAAAAAAAACACAGGTGACATGTTGTTTCGTCGTTTAATATATTAATGGGATTAAAGAAACGTTGTGGTTGTTGTTGCGCTCTATTCAATTACCACGGTATGCTGCGTACCTGTCTGGGGGGCAGCTGTACGCTGATTAATGGGCCCACCTGGTGATCATCACTCAACAATGCGCGTTTCTTTTAACCGTTAATTCAACTTATACCGCCCATTGTTGTCGTGCAGAACGATGCGTCTTCTTCGTCGTGCTCGGCCAGCTGCGGGTATACCCGAGATGCTGGCTTCCTTCCAGTCAATATTACACGAAATTAGTTTTCACTAACCGAAACCTTGACGACGGTGAACGTGTGGGTCGGGGTAGCGAGGCACGCACCCCGACCGCGTTCGAATTCGTTCCGGCCTTGTGCGAGGCAGGCAATTTAACTCTGCCCAAACGAAGGTGGGCCAGCCATTATAATGCATTTGTCCGACGCAAATTCCACTCCTGTTGAACGCCGTGCAAGACAAGGGGGGAATTTGGCACGGCTTGTTTATTTTTTGGCACCTGCTTTTGATTGTGCTCTCGCGATTGAAAGCTCCCGGCCGCAAATATTCAAAAGGTTGGGTGGGGGCAAGGCCACGAAAGGCAGCGGCTAATTAATTTGCAGCCATATGTTTGTACAATATCAGTAATCATATTCTTTGGTTCTTTCGTTAAAGTCACGTAGAAAGAAAATAAAATAAACTGACGACGTTTCGATCGCAACACAAAGCGGTCGTCATCAGGTGCCTGATGACGACCGCTTGGGTTGCGATGGAAACGTTGTGAGTTGTTGGTTTTTATTTATTTTTCTTCTTATTTTAATTGTATTATTTTCTTTCTACGTGACTTTCCCGAAAGAACCAAATAATATGAATTCCTGCAGTCACGAAAGTTTTAAGTAAAAAAAAATATCAGTAATTGTTTTGAGAGTATTGTGGACGTGGGAGGCGGGGGTTACGTACATAACGTATGCGTTCTGCTTGTAAATGACAGGCCCAATGTTCGAGCTTAGTTCTGCGTAATGCTATACTTACCAAAAAAAAATGTAAAATGTACATGGTTTTGTTTAATCAGTGGCCTAATCACGTTCATCAGCGGGAAAAATGCAGCTGTTCTAGTTTTCTGGACAACATTTCAAACAAACAGCCCTAATGTATTTCTGAAACTGTTACATGTCACGTGCATTGCACGTTTTCCCAAATTACGGCTGAAGTATTTAGGGGTAATGTGATACCGGGTGACTTTTTTTAAAACTATGCTCCCGTTGTAAATCACAGTGCCCTGTGCGGTGCATTGCCTACTAAGCATGCTAGCAGCACTGTACCCCTGCCCTTTCGTACTGCTGTGTAGGCATTTTTCATGAGACTGTACATGACAATACTGAACATTTAAAAGATTTTCCTCCTTTCTTTATATTTTTTCTATACCTGTGGTATTTATGCCTTTCCGCAATAAAACTATCTCCCCCCCACCCCCCCCCCCCCCGATTACATTTTGTTATAATATTAGAGTTCATATGGGTGGGGGTGGAGCGGTGGCGCAGTGGTTAGCGCACTGCACAGTGAAGAGCTTGACAACCCTGTGTTTCTGATCAGTGGTGAGCGATACGTGAATCAGGTCCTGGCGACCCCAGCGGCCCACTACCCCCACCCGTCACGAATCCCAACAGAGACGTTGGGTCAGCCATCCCCCGTAACCGACACGGCAATGGGGGAGGTGCCAACCCCACAGTGGATTGACAAAGTGCTGTAAATTATTATTCATATCGTGTAGCAACAGCACGCAAAGAGAGGTATGACCTCGTCACAAGAACACCAACAAATGTGACCGTTGTGAACACAAGAAAATAATTATCAGAAATCTCTACTATCTGCTATGAAGAAGGGCCACATTTGCCTAAAACTGTAACTATTATACGATTTATTTTTCCTTATAGGACAATGTTATTGGTTGTGTTGGCTTTTTTATGCACCACAGCCAACACAGTATTACAACAAAGCCTTTTATTCATAAAAAAAAATAATGAATGGATACGTGTTAAGGATAGTGTGCAGGACCATTTAGTGATTGACGGAGTGTTATCTTGCTCACTTCTCAGACGGGGCCTTAACCTTGAGGCCTGATCGGGTCAGTTTGCATTAGAGATTGAATCACTCACAATTTAACAGATTTTGGGTGAACAATTCCACAATGTAACATCTGAAAAAAAGAAAATAAGAGCTAGCGTACACAGTGTTTCTGGCGTTTCCTGTTGCTTGCAACTACCATTTAAATAAAGCATTGCCACCCGCTCGCAGTTTGCTACAATTATTTAAATTACGTATCTGATTCATATCAGCTGCACATTCATTGACTTTGTAGTTGTGTAACTAGCTTCGATTTCTGCTAACAACTGTCCATCTGTTCGGTGCTTTTTACCGAGTAAACAAACCACATTTTCACCTGTAGAAATATTTTCCCAGTGCCGGATGTAATTAAGGAAACATAATTCAGCGCTGGTATTTTCATTAAAATTTCCATTAGCGATCACTGGACATACTTTAATGAAGTTGCAATTCGAGACTGTCTTGGAGTGTAATCATTTAATTACATCTCTTTTTTTTTAAAGGGAACTTTGGACACGGACCTCCGGAATGTATTTTGCTGTAGTTAATTTTAAATTACAGTTTTTATGTTTTTTTTCTTAAATCCCCGTGTTTGAGAAATGTAAATGTTATATATACATTATTTATGTATATACCGTACTTAAAAATGTTATTGAAGGATGTTAATAAATAATATTTAAAACATATTACACCCGTTTACAATGTCAAACGTAATGCTTTGCATTATACACCGTGTAACTGTTATAGTGAGAAACAATTTATTTAACGATTTTGTCGCTACGTATCTTCATTTATTGTGCCCTAAAATGTTTTGATAGGGTGTATATGTAACGAATAAATACTTACGTAATTTTTAAATGATCAATCTGATCATTTTATTCTAACGTTTATTGTCACTTATTTCAGAAGTACAGAATTCTACGTCAAAAACCGAGGCTGCATGCATATGTTTTTGTTCTATTAAATAACAGCTTTCATCATTACATTTAACACATTCTTATTTAATTTGGGCTTGTTGTTCGTGACTATCAAAAGTTACGCGAGATGAAACTCACAGCAGTCACGACAGCTCCCCACGATGATCAGCGCAACGCTGACAGACAAGAGCAGATGCGATGTTGTGCGCCTTGCACGCTTAATGCTCAGAATCGCATTTCATCGAGTGCCCCTTGTGCTCAACGTCGCAATGTTTAAATGTTTCAGCATGTGGTTTCAATCGTCCTAATAACCAATTAATTGTTCACCACTAAATCTGAAAACAAACTCCAAAATAAAAAATACGTGGCGCGCACACGAAATGCAACATGCGCATTTCGGGTCTTTAATCCAACGTGATTGGACACGGCCAGCCCAAAACAAACGTGCCCCGTTCGCCTCCATCTCCCCTCCGCCTCCCTCCCAGTGGCTGCATCCCAGTATTTCCCAAAACCATCGCCTCGACAGCCGGGATCAAAAAATGTTAAAACTTCCAGGAAGGAATCCAAGCTGGAGAGGATGTTGGCTGCGCCGTGTGTGTGTGTGTTGGCTGCGCGTGAGACACCCCTTCGGCTCGGCCCTGGGATCGCCAACATTGCAGCAGAAGTCGGCAACATGAGCCCCAGCCGCCAACTTATTCCTGAAGAAATGTGCTGACTAAATCTCCGTGGCTGCCAAGCAAGGCTACTTTCTCCCCCCCCCCACCCACCCACCGTCTCCTTTTAGCAAATCGAGAAAACATTCAAAGTCGCATATGGCTACGTCTTTCGGTGTTGAGATGCCGGCCAAAGATTTTCACTTTGTGATGACTGCTAAATGGCTGCAGTTATGGCCCATGAAATGTCACCCATGTAGCAAATTGCTTTGGATTTGAAAATTAAAGCGATTACTCATTTTTTTATTATTTGCAGATGAAATGTTTTAGAAAGCCATTTTATACGATTTATCCATAGTGTTATTTTAGGCCAAAGCCATTCGTTTATTCTTTACCTTGCAATATAACGAGCAAAAGCATTTTTATTTAGCGTTATCAGTCTGTCCCAGCAAGTCATACTAATCTAAATTAAAACAATGTTTTATTTTACAAGGTAAGGCCAACGAATCTATATAGCTCTTTTTTCAGAAGTGACCTGGCCACAAATGATAGCTCAACGAAGTGGCTTATCACGTGGAAATGTATAGCAGCCAAATACTCTAAAACGTATATTGATTTGAAATGTGGTGTGAAAACCCGGAGGAACTGGAAAAAAAAATCCACGCGACCAC